GGCTGGGGTTTGGAGTGAGGGCTATGCTGGACTCTCTTCTGCCTTGGACAGAGACACTATTACCACGATGTGGTCATGACAACAGGTACCGTTTAGTCAGCGCGCACACTCATTGATCAGGCTTACATGACAATTACCAGATCAGGCACGTTCCGTCACCTGTGCCTGATGGTGCATTTAAGAGGTAGGCACTTCATTGTCCCTGTTTTTCAGGTGAGGAAACCAAGGCTCAGAGAGGGTACATGGCTTGCCCCAGGTCACCCAGCAGTGAATGGTAGAGGAAGCCAGGTCGGCTGACTCTGATAACTTTGCTCAGAGATTAGGTGACTTTCGGGTTCCTCACTTTTCCTGAACAAACCTTTGCCACAACTTTCTCTTCTTTGGCTCCAGAGTGAGCAGAGGACAGGAGTGTCAGGGGAATGAGGGAAGAGAACAGATGGGCAGGCAGGGCACGGAGGGTCTGGCCAGCTGGGGAGGAAGGGCCGAGGAGGAGTACAGGTGGTGAAGGGGTCTTGGAGGCTGGATCATTTGGAGCGTATGGTTTTCTTGATCCAGGGGACATATTTGCAGATCTGGGTGTAAACAGCCGGATGCTGGGCAGAGCCGCAGGGGTAAACGCCCCAGGAGAGGATGCCCTGTAAGGTCTGGTCACACACCAAGGGGCCGCCCGAGTCGCTCTGCAGGTGGGAGAAGGGAGACCCCAATGTGAGAGCTTCCACTCGGGGTCTGATGAGGAGGGAAGGGGCTGGGGCCAGGCTAGAGTTAGGTGGGATAATGATGGGGTTGGGTGGGGTTGGAGTTAGATGTGAGGTTGGCGTGCACTGGGGTGAGGATGGAAGTGGACTTGGGGTCCAGGGTAGGGTCAGGAGATGTGCTGGGGTTGAGGTTGGACTCTGGATCACGGTAGGTGAGGGGTGGATAGGGATTGGGAGATGGGAGGATGTGGTGGGGTGAGGACAGCTGGAGGGTGGGCTAGGGGCTGAGAGGGTGAGGACAGGGAGGGCCTGGGGTCAAGGATGGAGTAGAGAACGAGGTTGGGGGCAGGGACAGGCATCTCTTTCCTCCTGGCCATTCCCTACCTGGCAAGGGTCCTGGCCCTGGTCCAGTCCAGCACAAATCATGTTGCTGGTGATCACTCCAGGGTAGAAGACTTCGCATGCTTTAGGGGTCAGGAGAGTGACCCTGGAGCAGCTCAGGCCTTTGTTGTACTTCACTGATGGGAGAACATGCCAGGTAATTCCTAGGGCCAGCCTAGCCTCTGTTACCCAGGGGTTAGATGCAAGACTGCCTAGCCCAGGCCCCAGATGTCCTCCCAGGAATCAGGCCCCAGCCTCCCCCCTCAGGCCCAGGGATCCAAGACCAGCCCTCTTCCCTCAGACCCAGGGTCCAGGCCCAGCCCTCCTCCCTCAGCCCTGAGATGCAGGCCCCACCCCTCCTCCCTGAGATGCCAGCCTCAGGGCCCCCACTCTTGCCTCTCCGGGAGGATGTGGTGCCCCAGCCAGCGATCTGGCACTGGTCTCCAGGCTGGGCACAGCGGTTGGGCAGCTGCAGGACCTGGACGCGGGGCCCCTGCACAACAGGCCTGCCCAGCTTCAGCAGCATGAGGTCATGCTCATCTGTCCGCCTTGGCAGGAGGGGGCCTGAGCCCTGGAGGTACTTGGGGTGGACAACGGGGTGGCTAGCCAGGCGGAGCTGCTCCCCCTGGAGAAGAAGCAGGTGGTCGTCCCCAACTCGAGCCCACAGGGACCTGGGGAGGAAAGAGTCACAGGGAGGCAAAACCTTCTGGAGCTTGGGCCCCGGGCTCCGGGTCCCTGGGGTGGAGGGTGCAGGCAGGGAGTGAGGACCCACACCTGTGTCCTGAGGTAGGAGGGCTCTGAGGGAAGAGGGCCACAGGAGCAGGGGAGGCTGGGACTCCTGGGTCCCACGGAGGAAGGGGCTGGAGAGGGAGTGGGGCCTGTGGCCTGAACTCCTGGACATGGGGGCAGGGGTTCCTGGGTTCTGCAGGAGTTGAGGGCTGGGGGCTGGTCCTGGTTAGGTCTACCTCCTGCTTTCTCTATAATGACACCCAGTCCTTCTCCCTGGGTGGGGACTCCTGAGGTGAACATTACCCTTTACTTCTAAGTTCCTGACCACATCAGATCCCGACTTGGGCCTCTTGCATACAACTACCTACTCCCAGTGGAAGGGGAGAATCAGCTAGCTGGGCAGGCATCATGGACCCGGAAACACTGAGAAGGACCACACCGCCCCCTGGTGTCCACCGCACAAGCCCTGCCTCTCCATCACCAGGAAGGCCTCCACGATTAACCCCATCTGGAGCTGGGAGAGACCCAGTTGTTCCTGCTCTTCCCGCCCCTCCCTGGGATTGGTTTCCCACCCACTCCGTGGCGTCCTCTACTTGTCGTAGGAGCAACCCCTACTTGTCGTTCCAGCAGTGTGCTGCAGTGAGCACCCAGCTCTCGTCCACTAGGACGCCTGCGCAGTGGAATTTGAGGCCCTTGAAGAGGGAGACCTGCCAGGGCTGCGAGCCGCGCGTGCAGGGGGCGCCAGAGGCCGCAAGTTCCAAGCCTGTGTCATTTACTGGGAGCGCATCCGCGGCTGGAGAGAGAACGGAGAAGACGGGGCGGGGGATAAGAGCCCGTTGGAAGAATCTGGGGATTGGCCTGAAAGGGAGGGGGACACTGCCAGACACCAGAGAGTGGAGAACTGGGGGGACTGCTTGAACCGAATGAAAGTGGGCGAAGAAAGGCGCGAATGTGCAAGGAGAGGTGGACGGAGTAGCGCAAGTCAGAATGGGGGGGTCTGGAGGGGCGAGGACCTCACACCTGACGCTGCGGGCACAGAGGGGTGGTAACGCGGGGCCGCAGAGGGCTGCGGGGTGGAAAGGGGCGGAGACAGACTGCGGCTGATGACAGGGGGCGGAGCTAGAACCCGGCGGGATTCTAAAGGGGGCGGAGCTAGAACCCCGCGGGCGGCCAGGGGGTGGAAACCGAAGGCGGTGGGGCGGTAAGGGGGCGTGGCCAGAACGCGGCCGGGAGTTGCGCAGGTGGCTGATGGAAAGCCATCCGGGAGGAGCGATGGGAATAATCAAATGGAATTGGAAAACCCGAGAGGGTAAAAAGTGGCAAGGCAAAGCTTGGGGCAAAAGGCGGCCGAGTAAGAAGAGGTGGGGACAGAACGAGGCCGTGTGAGGGGAGCAGAAGGACTGGGGCCGGACAGCACAGTCTGACGGGGCGGGACACCAGGGGCCGAGCTAGCAAAGGGACTCCGCGGATCCGTGCTCGGGAACGTGGGGTGGGTGCGGGGGTCCCCAAGGGAGAAGTGCGCGAGGGCGGGTGGCAGCGCGTACTCCTCCCTTGGTCCCGGCCCTTCAGCCGTCCCCTGTTTCCCGTCTCACCCCAGAGTTGCGCCATCAATAGCGGCAGCAGCTTCATCAGGGCCCAGACGCCAGAGGCAGCGGAAAGGTGGCGGTGCGAGGGTTTCATGGCGAGGACCAGGGCTGGGAGACGGGAGGCGGGTTAAAACAGATGCGCAGTCAGGGACCCCCACCTCGCGGGTCTGTCCGTCCTGCCTGGGCCACCCCCGATGGCCGCGACCCGTTTAACCTGCAGCCGACCACCGCGGGGGCGGGGGAGCTGGCAATTCGGGCCTGAACTGCCCTAATGGGAGCAACTACCCTAATGACACCCTTGGTAGCTTCCTCCTCGAGTGGCTTCCTCCCTTCCTCCCTATGTCCCAGAGGAGACCTCCGAGAGCCCGGGCGGCCGCGGTGGCCAGCCCTGTCGCGCGCCGGGTTTCACCCTCCTTCGCAGGTGGGGGTGGGGATCCCAGACCTGAGCCAATGGGGACCTCTTCTAAATTGCACTGCTTTGGGATTTTCCCGTCCCGCCAATAGGGAAATCGAGGCTCAGACAGGGCTCCTGCCTGTGGCCTGAGGGTCCCCACCCAACCTCTCGTAATCCGCCCCAGCGCGGGTGGACGACAGGCATCCCGCTTCACCTGGGAGTCCTCAGTAGGAAGGAGGAAGAAGAACCAGAGTCCCCCGCCCTGCTGTGTGGGCCGTCAGAATCCTCTGCCCAGGGACCCCTGGCAGACCTTCCCTTTTAACCCTCGAGATCCCGGAAGCTTCCCCACCCTTCCCCCAGGGATTCACTCCCTCTTTTTCCCTCAGCCTAATTACTCCGTGGGTGAGGCTGGCACCCGACCTGGGCCCCAGATTCCTGCCCTGGGAGGGGCCCTGGAATACAGGCTTCTCCCTGTGACCCAAACACCCTTTTTGTGGCTGGATTCTTATGGGGACTGCCGGGGTCCCCTGTTTCAAGAAGTCTTTCCTGGTGTGGTTGTGGTGGGGGGAGGGTGCCCTGTCTCCAGGGAACCCAGGGGTGGGATGGCAAGTGATGATGTTCAGCCCCTGGAGAGAGGAGATGAACAGGGAAATATGCACCAGGGAGACAGGTGAGAGCTGGCAGAATGCCGAAGGGGAAGGAGGCAGAGGCCAAATAGCTGGATGGAAAGAGCAGGAGGGACACAAGCCAGCGGGGGGGGGGGGGGGGGGGGGAAGGGAGACCCTGAAGAACGAGGCAAGACGGAGGGAGGGAGGGAAACAGGAAAGACAGAAGAGGAAAGGAGCAGAACAAGAGGCCGAGAGAAGGATGCTTTGTGTCTGGAGCCCACCCAACAGCCGGCGCAGTGGGCTTCTTGTGTGTGTGACTGGTGATCAGTGTTGGGGGGGCGGTGGCCTTGCATCATACCATGCATGCCCATCTCACACCCTCCCTGCCATCTGTGTGTCTCCAGATGACACTCGGGCTTATGAATCACAAGAGGCCCAGGCTGCAAGGGGCATCAACATCACCTGAGACTACTCCCTTATTTGGGGTGAGGAACTGGCAGGCTCAGAGAAGGCAATGACTCACAAGAAGTCACACAGCAAGTCCACCAAACAACAGAGGGCCCTAATTCCAGCTCTGGGCCCTTACTCCTCATGCCAGATACCTCCCTTGCAAGGCGAGCAGAACATTGGAAAGGATCCTGAATTCCTGACGATTTATGAGGCACCTTGTCCTTCGGGAATTAACTTCAGAGGCTGTTCAGCTCAGCCCTGTCTGACCATCCTTTTGGAAAGGATGCTAAAGTTCTATATGCATATCTGATGTGGCTGTGGAGCATTTGAAATGCGTCAAGTGTGACAGAGGAACTAAGTTTCTGATTTTATGTCATTATTTTTTATTTAAATGGAGCATGTGGCCACCATATTGGCCAATGTGGGCCTCAACCAACTACTTGTCACGGAGGTTGGAATATAACTAGAGGTCCCTTTTGTGAGGCCTTGCTATGTGCGGGCTCACTTATTTACTGTGCTGTCAGACATTTGGGTGCACAGTTTTACAGCTAAGGAAACCGAGCTTCCGTCAAGGTGGGATCACTTGTTAGTTAAAAGATCACCTGGCTTCAAATCCTTGCCCTTCTTTCCCTTACTGGCCGAGTGACCATGAGCAAACAATTTCTTTTCTCCATGCTTAGTTTCCTCATCTGTAAAATGGGTATGATAATAGTGCTGACCTTTCAGAGTTTGTGAGGATTGTGTTGGTTGATGTATTTAAAAGCCCTTTGGACCAGGGTCTGTCTGGCCCATAGTAAGTACTCCATGGACTCATTCACTCTAAATATTTATTACAACCTTGGTGTACATCAGGAACTGTCTCTGGGGTTAGAGATATGACAGTGAACGTAACAGCTATCATCGCTTCCAGAGTCACAGGTTAGTGCCAGCCAGGCCGTCCCTGATTCCAAACCCCAAGTTCGTTATAAAGCTATAGCGTCTCCTGCAGCCAAGGAAGTGCACGGAAGAGTCCTGGCTTAGGGTTTCTCGAGAGCAGAATGAATGAGATCAAATGTTTACAGGAAGATGGGGCTGAGGGGTGGGTCCTGTTTAATTGTTGTTCATGGTCTCCTGGATCCAGTCTACATATTTGCAGACTTTTGTGTAGACACCGGGCTTTCTGGTGACAGCACATGGATCTTGGCCCCAGGAGATAATGCCTTGAAGAGACCCGTTACAGACCAGAGGGCCCCCAGAGTCACCCTGGGCATGGGAAGAGAGAGAACCAGTCAGAGCAAAGGGCGGAGGTTCTGGAAAGTGGGGGGGGGGATGGTGTGGGAAGGGAGGGAGGGGGGAGAAGATGTGTTGGTGATGGACTGGGGTGGTGAACTTGGGATTGTGGGTGGGAGTAAGGATGGCTTTAAGGTCAAATGAGTTTGGGGGGCTGGGGTTGTAGCTCAGTGGTAGACCACTTGCCTAGCATGTGTGAGGCGCTGGGTTCAATCCCCAGCACCACATAAAACTAAATAAACAAAATAAAGGCATTGTGTCCATCTACAACTAAAAAAAATGAGTTTGGGGATGGTCCAGTTGGAAATGGGGGTGGGCATGGGGCTGGGGAGTGTGTTGGAGTCAGATATGGTAACTGGGGATGGAGTGGGTTTAGCTGCAGGGACAGGTGGCCTTGGCACTGGGGTTGGGGTTGTGCATGTCACTGAGGTTGGGGAAGGGGCTGGGGTGTGGTGGGAGACCTGGCCCTGCCCTCTGACCTGGCAGGAGTCTTTGCCCTCTTTCTTGACGCTGGCGCACAACATGGTGTCCGTGATGTTGCCTGGGTAGGCACTCTCACACTCCTGGTGGTCAATGATAGAGATGTTGGCGCATCGCAAGGTGTGGGGCAGGCGCACTGCAGAGACAGTAGGAGAGGCCGTGGGAAGACAGCCCCCCTCCCCAGCCCCACGAGTTGCGCTCCTCCGGGGAGAGCCCTTGTCCTCTGTACACACGGCCAACTCGACTCTCTGCTTATACCAATAGCAAGGGTCACACCATTGAGCCAATCTGTCTGCAGTCGCTGTCTACATATTATCTCTAATGCCACCTTGGTGTGTGTGGGGGGAGAAAACCAAGCTTCAGAGAGGTGAAGCTCCTCGTCTGAGGTCTCCTATTAGCAGTTTTAGATTGCACATCACACCTGTCCCACTGTGAGGCTCAAATGCGTGTCTCTGTCCCCGCCCCCCACATGCCCAGTCCTGACTTTTCCATCTTTCCTCCAACAGATCCTACTCCTGACACCCCAGGCAACCCCTCTTGCATCACTATGAATCGGACCTGAGAAGGTTCCTCTGGTCCCTTGTGTCATTTCATCCTCGTGACCACCCCTCCCTTCCCACCCCCACCAGGTTCCCCTCTATAGTCCCTACACTGGGGGCTGGACGTGGTGCCCCAGCCGGAAATGAGGCAGCGGGTGCCAGCAGTGACGCAGTGTGACGACAGGGTGAGGGGTCTCACGGCCCTGGTAATGAGGGCCGGGGAGGACATTTTCACCAGCATGATGTCATTGCGGTGGTCCTTGTTGGGGAGGCTGTTGTTGAAGTCTGGGTGGGGGAAGGACTCGGTGGCCTTTCGCCTCTGCTCAGAGCCATCCTGATGCTGCAGGTTGTGCTCCCCCAGGAGGACCACGTAGCTGCTGAGGTGGGAGGGACAGTGGTCAGAGATGGAGAGGTGGAGGGGACACACGCGCAGGGTTGGGGAGGAGAGATGAGTGACACCTTCGAGAACAAAGGGACAGGGCTCCGCTTCCAACCCCATCTCCCTCTGGAGCTCCCTTCCAAGCTCCAACCCCACCCCCAACCCATTCCCAGAACCACCAGGTCCCCAAACATCCATCCCTCTGTCTGCAATCCCAACCGATCCCACCCATCCTGCTAACGCCCCCTCCCCATCTCCGCCGAGCTCTCCACCCTCCTCCATGTCCTTCCTGTCCTCAAGCCCCCTGCCACCCATCTCTCCACCTCCAGCCCCCTCCCAGCCCCGCCCCAGCCCCCGCACCCACGGCTTGCGGCAGTGGGCTGCTGTCAGGAGCCATTTGGGGGCGATGAGGGTGGCCCCACAGAGCAGCCGCGTCTTCTGGAACAAGGCCACCTGCCAGGGCTGCGAATGAGGAGGACATTCGTACCCCTTGATGATCCTGGTCTCTCCCCTGACATGCCCTGCAGGAGGTGGGGCAAAAGAGGGGCTCAGGCCTGAGAAGGGCTAGGCCCGGGAGACCCGGATGTGGGAGAGGAGAGTGAGGGGGTGGGCTGGCCTCGACCCGGGTCCCACGGGGTGTGCCATGGTTGGGTCAGGTGTTGAGGAACTGAAGTGCTTCCTCACTGGTGGCTCAGCCCTCCCCACCACGGCTCCCTGGTCCCTCCTCTGGGCCCCTGACCTCTCCCCATGCTGGCATCTAGAGGGGTTACACCCAGCATGGCCCTATGGTGGTCTCCATGCCCATGACACATAGGTCTGTCTAGGTTTTGAATACCAGAGGGTAGGGTTCCCAGCGATGGCAGAACCAGGGCCCGGCCCTCCCCATCTGTCACCATCACGGTACCTGTCACCAGAGCAAGCGTGATGAATCGCAGAATCATCATGGCCTGGAGCGGGGCAGGGCAAGGCCCGGGTTCCTCTGGGGACAAGAAGGGAGCCGGCCCTTAGCACTCTGAGGGGAGAGGAGGGCTGTTCACGACACCCTCGCCTCACGCCAGCTGCCCCCTCTCCTGGCCCTGCCTGCTTCCCCCAGGGAGGGGCCAGCCTGGGGAGCCCCCTGGTTCTCATAGCACAACAATCAACCTTAAGGTCAATCTTAGGCTCCAGGGTGGCCTGGAGGGGACTTGGGCCAGCTAGAAGCTTCTGGAATGCCAAGGAGCCAGAGGAAGTTGCTGGGAGGGGCTGTGGGGCGCGCCAGGGCCGGGCCTCTGGGCACACTGTGGAGGTGCTCTTCTTCTCGCCCCCCCACACCTGGCCAGGGTCCAGGCCCCATCCGGTAACCACCCCATTTTTTGTGGTCTCAACAGCAGGGCCACATGGAGGCTTTGAGGTCCGCCTCCAAGGAAGGAAGTGGTCAGCGTGGGACCGTGTCTGCCTTCCTCCTTTCCCCTTGGTGCACCCCTGCCCCTTTGAAAGACAGCCCGAGGGAGCTGGGCGGGGTGGACGGCGAGGGCTGTGCCCTGAGATGCCCTGCCAGCAGGGTGGGACTGAAGGGTGGACTGAGCTTCCCAGCTGGGGCCAGAGGTCATGGAGGTTGGGGGCAGCAGGTTGGAGGTGAGAGACCAGAGAGAGGTAGAGAGCCCCACCCAAGCTGGAAAGGACAGAGCAGAGGGGAGTGGGTACCGAGGCAGAGGAGGACTGGCGTCCAGGGTCAGCAGACTCCTGGAGGGGGCTTCTCTTCCCTCCCCGACTCACGGGCTCTGGGCTGGGGCTCCGGGGGACCGGCGGTGGCAGCTGCGGCAGGCTGGGTCAGAGCGCCAGGCACCAGGCAGGCCGGCAGGCAGGGGTGGCCCGGGGCAGACCGGGATGACTGGCCTCCAAGCCCTGCCTTGCTGCCTGGGGGCGGGGTGTGGGGGCCTCCCTGGCACTCTGCTGCCCGCGTCACCTCTCCAGGCCCCTCTTCCCCTGTGTCATCTGTCTTGTATGCACCGGTCCCCTTCTTGCTCATCTCTGAATCTGTTTCTGTCATTCTCTGCCACACTGGCCCTCTGTGTGGGAGGTCTTCTTCCTTCTGTCTCTAGGCCTTCGACCCTCTCTGCTCCTTCCTCCGTCTGGGCTCTGGGCCCTGTCTCTCGTGGCCTGTCCTTCTTCCTGTCCATGTCTCAGTGGCTCCCAAGCTTTCCAGTCCCTGTCTTCCTCCAGTTCCTCTGTCTCTGCCTGCCCTGCCCCTTTCTCCTCGAAGCCCCAGCTGGCTGTGGCCCCTGGCCTCCTCTGGGCCCCTCCCTTCTCCTTTCCAAAGATGGGGGAAACTGGGGCGTCAGGGAGGTGGGGCTGCTGCCAGGCGAAGGGGCAGGACGGCAGGTGAGAGAGGCAGGTCGGGGCCTGCACAGCCAGGGCCCAGCAAGGGGAGAAGAGCCCGGCAGGTGCCCCAAGCCCTAGGGCTCTCTGGATCCTCCTTCTCTGAAGCCTCTTCCCTCTGCGGCTCTCCCCACCTCCTGGGCCTCTGGATGCTGGACATCTGGGTCCAAGTCCAGCTGTGCACTTACTCGCTGCTGCGGGGCCTGGGCCTGACGACTTCCAGTCCTTCAGCCACCTCAGCCTCCTCATCTGGGAAACCCGGTGTGGAGCCCCACTTCTCCCAGCTGTTTGTTCTCAGATCTCCTCCCTGGGTCTTTCTCTGCTCTCTCCCTAACCAGATGTGGAACAAGGCGGGGTAGCCCTAGGTTCTGACAGCAGCCAACCCTGGCCTCAAACCCCGGTTCTGCCTCTTCCTACCTCTGTGACGTGGGACGAGGGACTCCACCCCACGAGGCTTCATCTGCAACATGGGGGTGACGGCCCTGCCTTGGGGTGGGGTGGGGGGTGGGATGAAGACTCCAGAGAGTCACGAGGAGAGCCCAGCTCTGTTGGGCTCAGTCAGTCACAGGCCTGGCTGTGCTGCTGAGCCCTGTCCTCCTCAGTCCCCGGGTCCCCATCCACACTTTTCAGAGGATGATGTTCTCTTTCGGCCTGTTGGAGAGAACCCCAGAGGTGGGCAGGACCCTTTGAGACAGGGGCCACATTCCACCACCCTGGGCCATCCAGACATTAAAATAGACTGACTTCCTGCACCAATATAAGTTGGCTCAACACAAAAGAGCCAAGCCGCCATTGGCCAATGTAAAAAAAGTCACATGTCATAGACATTTCATTAAATGGTCACTGAAATTTGATTTTCAGTTGGCATTTGATATTTTCTTTTTCTTCTTTCAGGTTCTTCATAGGCCACTGAAGAGCATATAAGCTCTGGGCACTATTTCTATCATGCCTGATGGAGAAAGATGGCCTTCATTTTTAGTATTACCAGTAAATTTTTTTGCTCCATTCCTGTGTGATCCCTGAGGGAAAACGCTACACTCTCTGATGTCTATTTCTGTATCTGGAGGTAGAGGAGCCCAGGAGGCTCCCTCCAGTCTCAAAGAGCTTAGGATCATCAGACAGACACAGCCCTCCTTCAGTTACACGGTATTTATTTCTGACAGTTGTGCAGTCCTCCCCTCAAGTCATGGGCCTCAGGAGGACTGACTAGAATCGCAGTTCCAAGAAGTTCCCCAGATCAACAAAAGATTCTGGTGCTGAGGGTCAGAAAGGCCCCCAAGTTGAGGGTGGAGATGGAGGAAGCAGGTCAGTTGTTCCTTATGATCATCCGGATCCAATCCACATACTTGCAAACATTGGTGTAGACTCCTGGGATGCCTTTTTGCCCGCAAGGCTCCACGGACCCCCAGGACACCAGCCCCTGAAGGACTCCCCCGCATACCAGGGGTCCCCCAGAGTCACCCTGTAAGACGGAATGCTGCATAAATAAGGGAGTCATCCTGCTCCTGCTTTCCTCCCCACCCCTCGCCTATCACAGATCCTTTCCTAGGCCTTAGGGGTCCAAGCCTGGTCTTGAGAGGGAGGAGCACAGCCAGGCTCCGGGAAGACAATAGAAGTGGCCAGCCAATCGAAGAGAGCACACTGTCCCTGAGGGCCAATCCCAGGAAGGGAGGTGGGACTCTTCCAGGACATTGGCTGGGCCGCTGGCCAATGAGTGAAGAGAAAACTATCTCCTACGGCCAATCCCAGAGAAGGAGGGCGGGACTGCACGAGGGCAGAGAGTTCTCTTAAGGACAGTGGCTGGGTACCAGGACAGTGAGATTTAGCAGCCTCCTCCTCCTTCCTGGGGGTCCCCAGAAAGCAAGAATGTGGAATCAGAGGGTAAAAGCCCACTGGCCCCTTCCCGTCTCTGTCCCCACATCTCTTTGTCACCCTGGAGCCGCACCAGCTGGAAGATAGTGTGGGGAATGCCCAGAGCCCTGGGTCTGGCAGCTCCAGATCCTGGCTGGTCCTTTGCCCTCCTCACCCTTTGTCCTTCTGTTCCCCCCTCCCTCTCTTTGGGCCACCTGTCCGTCTCCACCTCCCTCCTCCATTCCCTCCCTCGCTCCGTCCTCGTCCGGCCCTCGACCTGTTCTCCGCCTCCCTGAACCTCGCCTTCTTTCTCACCCATCTCTTCCTCTGTCCCCATTTCCACGAGTCCCTCCCTGCTTTGGTTTCCCTTCCTCAGCCCCCACTTCCTGTCCTGGGTGACCATGCACCTCCTGTGTGTGCTCACCTGGCAGGCGTCCCTCCCAGCGACCCCGCCGGCGCACACCATGTTGTCGGTGATCCTCCCGGGAAACACGGCCCGGCAGGCGGCATTGGAGACGATGGAGAGGCTGAGGCACTGGAGCCGGTCAGGGAATGGGCCTGGGGACGGGAGGTCGTGCTACAGGGTCCCTCAAAGTTCCCCCTCTTCATTTCCTTTGTCCCAACTCCAGAGTGTCTTCTGATCCTAGTTTATTTGACCCCAGAGTCTATGAACCTAAACCTCTGGCCCCTGACTTCTAATCTCAGATATGAGATAAAATCCCGATTTATACCCAGATCTGCAACATCTGGATCCCAGGACCTCTATACCCAAGCCCCTGACCCTTGACACCCAGATCCTACTTATATATACCTTTACTCCCCTGACCTCACTCTGACCTGATTGCATCCCTGACCTCTGACTTCTGACCCCACACCCACTCCCTTCACCTCTTTAAGTCCTAGGAGATCCCTCCTGATCTCTGACCCCAGACCTGGTCCTGGTGTCTACCGCACTCCCTTGCTGCCAGGCCTGACCTCTCTCCTGCCCTCTCACCCTCCACCCCGGGCTTTCCCTCTTCTGACCCCTGCCCAGGGGGCTCCTTACTCGATGGTTTGTTGGTGGTGCCCCAGCCGGAGATGTGGCACTCTGTGCCAGCTGCGGCGCAAGAGCTAGGCAGGGGCAGGGGCCGCACGGCGCGGGTCACGCGCACTGGTGTCCCCAGCCGCAGCAGCCTGAGGTCGTGCTCGTGGTTCTGCAGGGCTCCCCGGTAGCTGGGGTGGGTCACGGAGAAGCCGCTGCGCCGGATCTGCTCGGCCCAGTCCAGCCTGCTGAGGCTGTGCTCCCCCAGGCGCACCCAGTACCTGCTGGGGTCGCAGCGGCTCAGCAGGTGGCAGGGCAGCCCCGCCCCCTCGGAGCCGCGCGCCTGCTCCGACGCTCTTAAACAGTGAAGCCCAGGAGGTGATTGGAGTTGAATTCTTCCCTAGTTCAATGCCTGTCCCTGCCACTTGGCCCCATAGAGGAGTTGTCAGTACTGTCGTCTGAGCAAGTGGATTATGCATGGCATCTCTGTCCTGCTGTCTTTCAGCCCCTTCAGGTCTGATCTCCCCTTGCATCAAAAAACCCCAGAGCATCAGACCTAAAAAGTGGCTCATCTTACAAATGGGGCTACTGAGGCCCAGGAAGGTGACAGACCTTGTCCCTGTGGTTGCACTCAGTTTGGGGTAAATGTGGTCCAGGACCCAGACTGGGACCAGTAGTGGCTGAGACTGGTGACAGATGCCATATAGGAAAGGGTGGCACATGAGGACCCTCTGGGTCCTCCACCCACTACACCTCACCCCACCCAGCCCCACCCTAGTCCCACTCTTGAGGAAGTTCCACTCCTCATCTAACCTCAGACTCTTTTGTTGCAGAACTAGTTTTGTACCCTTGGCACCCTCATCCCCTAAGATCTATTCTGAGTGGTGCCTCCCTGGGGACCCTCCCTAGCACTTGCCTCCCCATCACCCTTCTTTGCCCACCAGGAAGGGCCCAGACTGGGGCTCACCTGCCGCTGCAGTGAGCAGCTGTGAGGACCCATCTGCGGTCAATGAGGACTCCCCCGCAGCGCAGGCTGGTGCCCTCAAAGAGCCCCACCTGCCACGGCTGCGAGTGAGGCAGGCACTCCACGCCATTGACAATCTTCTCTGTGTCAGCCTGGCTCGCCCCTGGGGACAGGCACGGAGCTAGAGAGAGGGGGTCAGAGACAGAGACCAGGGGTCAGAGAAAGAAGGGGAGCACAGAGATGGAGAGAGCCGGTCTGAGACACAGTGGCCCACCAGAGTGGCCCAGAGAGGGAGGGAAAGGGGACAGAGGGACTAGAGGGAAGCAGAGAGCCCGAGACACAGCGGCAGCAGGGCAGGCCAGGTGTGGGCCAGAGCCGCCGCCCCCCTCCCATCCTAGGGCCAGGCTGAGCTGAGCTGGAAGACGGAGCCTCTTCTCGCCCGTCCTGGCCCTGCCCAGGAACTCACCAAGAGTGCACAGGAGCAGGGTGATGCCCAGCCTCATAGCGGCCGCCGCCACAGCCTGGGAGAAAGGGACTCTCAGAGGTGGCCCTTCCCTGGCCTCCCACCCGTACCCTCTCTCCCCTCTCCCCTTCTCTCTGAAGATCTCTCAGGAGCTGACCTACTGTCCCCTCTACTTGTCCCCACATGCCACCCCTCCGTGGTGGATGGCCTGCCCCCGCTCACCTTCTCTGTGGCTGCAGGATCCTCTCTGTGGCTGTCCCTGGTTCCGCCTGCCTATCTCTGTGTCCACCTACCTGCCTGTCCTTTCATCTGCCGGCCACCTTTCACACTGGCCACCTGGCTCCTCAGCCACCTGTCATGCTGCCCCACCTGTCCCCTCTGTCAGCCACCCCAGGCCCCAGGCTGACGAGGCAGTTAGCTCTCTTTGTCCCAGCCCAACTGGGACTTCTGACTTCCGGCTTGTGGGAAGGGGACGAGGAAGATGAGGTGGGGCTCTCTAATCCCCAGGAGCTCTTTCTAGCTGACAGGTGACTCCTCGGAACCAAGGGGACAGGGCGGAAGGAACCAGGGTGGGAAGACCCGGCCCCTCCTCTCCACACCAGCTCGCAGCCGCTGATGACTCAAAGCACCGGCTCCTGGAGCTGGGTTCTAATCCCCACTCTCCAGTGACAAAGAACCGGGAGGGTGGGGCTGCCTGGAACCTGTGGGCAACGAGGCAGGAGGAAGGGGAGGCTGTGGAACCCGAATTCCAGGGCAGAGAGCACCCCAGAAAGAGAAGGGGGTGTTGCCAAACAGGTGTCCAGGGAGAGGCAGGGAGGCTCCCCAACTGTGTCCTGTCGGATTCTAAATTCAGGGTTCATTCTGGTTACCCCAGGACCCTTACCTTCCTGCTTTTTATTTTTACTTTTTGGTCCTGGGGATTAAACCCAGGGGCACTCAACCACTGAGCCACATCCCCAGCACCTTTTTATATTTTATTTAGAAACAGGCTCTCACTGAGTTGCTTAGCGCCTTGCCGTTGCTGAGGCTGGCTTTGAACTCGAGATCCTCCTGTCTCAGCCTCCTGAGCTGCTGGGATTACAGGTGTGCACCACCACACCCAGCACCATCCCCTCCTACTCTGTCTGCCTCTCTCTCCTTTCTGTCCCCGTAGCTCCTCGCACCTCCCACCTGGACACTCAGCCTCTAATCTCCCCCCTCTCCAGTCCACCTCCTACATGTGGATGGCTCTGTCTACACCCAGAGCTGACCTGCTCACAACCCTCTTGTGGCACCCCCCCGCATATCCCAGAACAAAGTCCTGGCCCTCCAGCACAGATCTCCAGGTCCCACAAGACCCACATGCAGCCCCCTCTTGGCTCTCTGCCCCCAGCTTGGCCTTTTGGGAACTAGAAATGCCTGGATTCTTGGTCCCCAGCCCAAGGTGCCTTTCCCTGCACCGCGAGGCCCCTTCCTGATCTCCTCATCATAGGAAGGAGCCCTGAAGCCCCCCGACCTCTCCAGGCTGGTCAAGTGCCTGTGTGTCCCCCTGGGAACCCACAGAGGGACCTGCCAAGAGCAGAGCGAGGCAGGAATGCTACCTGTGGTGTCCCTGTGTCCCTGGCATGGGCCTGGGGTACGTGTTTCTCGGTGGATGAGCAGATGCAGGCTCAGAGTGTGCCTTGCCCAACCCCCTTTGACACCCCACTCACTGGTTGTGAGCACCTCTCAGTGCACGATGGACCCCTACACCCCAAATTTTGTTCAATTGCAGGGACTAACAGTGCCCTGCACCCCCAAGAGGGTCAGTGATGCCTGGCATTCTCATGACGAGGTTTCCTGCGGGGAGGAGGCAGAGGTCCCCACCTGGTCCAAAAACATCCTGAGATAGAACGGAAGGGCCGGCCGGGTGAGGGGTCCCGTGCCCAGCCAGGGCGCGTGTGGGCTGAAGGAGCACCGAGGTTTTCCCATATATGGGGAAGAAGGGAAAAGGGAAAGGAAGACTTCAAAGTTATCAGAGGTCAGACATCAAAACGGAATCCAGCGTTTTATGAGGATCCACCCCCGAGCTGGGTGGATGAGTCACGGGGACCGTGTTTCCTAGACCTGCATGTGGATGTGAATGGGCCCGAAGCCCGAGTTCAGTAAAGGAAAGTCTACCCCGTCCAATGCCTTGTCCCAGAGCCACACTCAACATTCCAAAGGAATAAAATGTGTGCCCTGGTCATTGTCAGCCACCTGTGGAACCCTGAAGAGGAAAAGGAGTGTTTTGTCAAGGATGGCAGAGAGGTGTGGATTTGATCAATAGTTGGTACCTGTGAAAGAAGAGATTTCCAGAGTCTTCCCCCACAGGGCTAATGGCAACTCTGGAGAAGGAATTGCTGGGTCAGGACCTAAGGGCCAGGTCACTGGCAGCGGCTCAAGCACCTTTAAGAACATGCTCCTGCTGTGGATTGCTGGCAAAATCATCCTGAAGCTCATCCTGTCCCGTTCTCCCTCAGGGACACTCTGGGCAAGGGATGAGAGGCAGCCGTTCCCTAGAAGGCTCCAACCTGTGTGTTGGTGGTACTGCCACCCACGCAGTCCCATTGCCATTCACTCCAGCACCACTGCATCTGCAAGGAATGGTGGCTAGGGGGAGTCACCCTTTCCTGCAGGTGGGACGTGCCAGCGCCCTCAGACTCAGCTCCGTCCTGGCTAAGGAGGCCTCACAGCCATGCTGGATGTGTGGGCTGCTGCTTCCAGGGTTAAAGGCTTAAGCCATTATTGGCAGACAGTTCAGAGGTCACAGGCTCTGAGTCTGTGTTTCCTGGAAACCCAGCATGGGACCAGGAAGTGCCTCTCTCACTCAGGGCAAATGGCCTGAATCCAAAAGGACAGTCAAAAGCCCAGAGGCAACTGTGGCCCTCACAGTGGTCCAGACCCAGGAAGCCTGAGAAGCTGCCAAAGCCTGCCCGGTGAGGGAGACTCTGGGCGCTGGTGGGAGCCCGCCGTGTTGGGGTGGCCAGATTCCAGAGCCTTGGTTGGAGGCCTCCCTCCATTCAAGGCGGCTTGCTCTCCAACTAATGGCAAGAGTGGGCTTAAGTGAATTTTTTAGACGAGGAATACATTGCTTCCAACCCACTGCAGCCTGAAACATTATGTGTGTGTTTGGCGCTGTGGGTGCTCAGAGGCTCAGTAGCTATTTCTTGACAGTGCCAAGGCAGAGGGGTTCTGGTTACAACTGAATAATTTTCAGAAATTCAGCCTTGTACTCTGTGTGGCCAACCCCCTCCCCTGTACACGAGCTCTTTATGTGAAGGAGTGTGTCGGACAGATCCCCGGGACAGGGGCCACATCACCAGTGTGATGTTGTACCTGTGTGCCAACAGCCTGATGGCCTATCTCTGCTTCTGGGAAGAGTTGGATGTGGTGAGTGTCATGCCGTGGAGAGGCTCAGAACTCCATGTCTTCAAGCCCGAACTTTGGCTGCTGAGCACCGTCCTGCGTCACTTAGCCATGGGGATATGTCCTTGGAAATGCATTTGTTTTTGTCATTGTGCACACATGGTAAAACTCACTCACTACCTCAGTGGTCTAGGTCAGTGACTCCACATGGCCTCTTAATGCCATCGAGTCATGGAATATGGGAGATGGAGGTGTTCTGTTTCACAGTTAATATTCTTTTTTTGGCGGGGCGGTACTGGGGATTAAGCATAGGGGCATTCTGCCACTGAGCCACATCCCAGCCCTATTTTGTATTTTATTTAGAGACAGAGTCTCACTGAGTTGCTTAGTGCCTTGCTTTTGCTGAGGCTGGCTTTGAGCTCGTGATCCTCCTGCCTTAGCCTCCCGAGCCAATGGGATTATAGGCTTGTGCCACCATGCCTGGCTGTTTCACAGTAAGTGAAAAAAAAAAATATATATATATATATTTAATATTTGTTTAATTTTTTAGTTGTAGGTGGAAACAATATCTTTATTTTATTTTTTTTGATGCTGGGGTTTGAATGCAGTGCCTCACGTGTGCTAGGTGAGTGCTCTACCACTGAGCCACAATCCCATCTCCACAGTAAATAGTCTTTATAAGCAGAAGGCATGCACTCTAATAATCATTAAAAAGTTGGGCTAGGGTGCTTGCCTAGCATATGTGAGGCACTGGGTTCGATCCCCAGCACCACATAAAAATAAACAAATAAAAAATAAAGATATTGTGTCCATCTATAACTAAAAAATACTAAAAAAATAAAAGTTTATACAAACATGAACCAGCATCATAGCCATGTGTCCTCATGATCAAGTACATTGTCCCGAGCCATCCATGGGCTGTGTGTGTGAGCTGTGCACATTTGAGTGTATGGTCTGTCATTGTGCCCCGATTGGACTGTTCCACACAAAAGTGCCTGTCGTCTCGCTCTGCCTGTGACCCACACAGCACCTGAGATGGGTGTAGCTTGCCAAGGGTCAGTCAATCTGCTGACCACAAGACATCACCAAGCAAGACTCCACCCTTCAAAACCCTACCCCTTGCCTTATTTGGGTGGAATATTCTATGGAATGTCTTCTCCCCAGTAAATAGGGGGGTTCCAGGGGTGCTGCTCTCTCTCTTGCCTCGCTTGCTCCTCTTGCCCTTCGGCCCAGGAACTGACCCCCTGAGGTCGCAGAGCCGTCCCTGACTCCCGAAAAAGGTACTTTGGGTTTGTGTGGTCTTTTCATTGCCAGCCCGATTCGCACGGAGCGACCCTGACTCCATCGCCTGCCCGGGACGTGGGCACCGTACATGATACTTCATCATCAAGTGCATGACGTGATTGTAGGTGCCACCTTTGATACTCTGCGAGTGCAGTTGGTCCGTTGGCACCAACAGCACCGGGAACCTTGAGGAGCGTGTGGCACCTTGCCGTCACTAGGCGATGGGAATTCTTGAGCTCCGTTTTAATCTTAGGGACCACCAGTGCACACGCGGGCCATCGCTGACTGAAGTCTCCTCATGTGGTCTGTGAGCTCCGCTGAGCTGAAGGAGGCTGGCCTCTGAAGCAAGAAGTTCTCCCCGGAATTTTTCCCTCCTCCTTCCTCCTCCCA